CCAATTTGCAATGCTTGCGATACGGTCTAATGGAGTTTGGAGGTTTTGTAAGAAATGACCAGCTCAGCAGTGAGCAACGCCAACATATGTTTGTGCAAGAGAGGGCCAACTATGTTTTGTGGCAGATGAGACAGAGAGCAGAAACAACAGATCCAGTCCCAACAGAACATGCAGAAATGGATGAAGAAGGTGGAGAAGAAGAATCCTTGTCAGACGATGCACCAGTGACAACGCGAGATTCCCCTGGCAATTTTGAGGCCTTGCTGGAAAACTTGGGTTTGGACCAGAGCGTAGCAGTTTCAAATGGATGGCACAACGATGCATCGAACATACAGCAAGCTATGATGATTCTTTTGGAATCAAGTGCCGATGCAAATGCAGGTGGTTTGGGAATGGAAACGCTGAACCACATCAGGAACATCTTTCAAAGGCTTTTCCGTTTTCATCGGAACCGTGGCAGTGACGAAAAATCTCAGAGGTACAGACTCTATGTTGAAAACATTGCAGGTCTGATGTGAAGGCAGGGGAGAGGGTAACATGGATCTCTCCTAGCCATTTTCTTTTGGAATGCTTTACCAGAGACAACAGCTGGTAGAGCGTTTGCCGAAGGTTGAGAGTTAAGCAAACTCAACACTCAAAGGAGGAGTGTGAAACATTGCAGAGCCTACTGGCTATCACATTTCAGTCATGGATGACACGCACGAATCAAGAAGAGTAGTTGCAGTGCCATTTCATGGATCACATAGAACATGTGATGACTTTGTGTACGTGAGGCCCTTTTGGCTGAGGAAAATAGACCGCAGTTTCAGCTGTGCTTACGCACATTCGATTTTGAAAACGGACGACAGTTTCATTTGTTCAAATCCTAGGATTTGTCCAGTTCAAGGGCCCTGTTGGCATGTGAACGCTCCAATATACAGTCAAAAACAAATACCATCAACATATTATTCTATATATAGAGCCTCTTCTGGGTCTCATACATATCGTAACATGACACTATATAGATAATTAATATGGTAGAACTATGATAAAATAAAACATACCTTAGTTTGTATGATGTTTGTTCAACTTGTTTGTTCAACCTGTTCAAGAAAACCACATCGATGAGCCGCCCCCTTTTTTCACGATGCGCGAAGTGCCATTGGAAGGATTTGAAACTGGAACTTGGTTGCCTTACCCTGTGACGATTTTGAATTTCTCAGAGGAAACCGCCATGGATGGCATGGATGGCACGGATGGTCACATGGAATTTTGGGATTTTTTTGGGCCCAATGAATCAGCAGATCCTGCAGAAGGCCACCAATTTCACAGGTTTCAGCCTATCAAATCACACCTGTGCCATTGCCCAGCACCACTGGAGAAACCGTGGGAGCCGACAAAACCTATGATTCGGGGACCTGATGGACCGTCCGGAGATTGGCCATGGTGGCCCTCGTGCGAAAAAAACCTTGGTGGTGCTTCCCAGGCGTTACCAAAACGAATTGTTAGTCAAAATTGCCGCTTGATTTTCTTTGGTGGAGTTGAGGGCACATGCCACCACTTCTGGCATTCTTTGCTGCCACATTTGCATCCATTCACAACCTGGTCAGAAAATTTCTCTTCCCAATTGTACGATAAAGATCACAAGGTGGGTTATTTTCAGTACATACAATGAAACCGTTCGGTCAAGCCAAACTATTCGAATCAAGCAGCTGATGGCAGATGCTGATCGAAGTATTCGTGAACAAGGTGGTGGCATCCTACCCTTGAATGTCTTGTCTGAAGGAACTTCTGGGATGATGTCCTATCCCAATTTGTTTGGAGTTGATCGAGCCCTCCAATACATTCGGGTTGGCTGAAGATGCTGAAAATGCATCTTGTTGATTTACGTATCGTGTTGGTCCGACATCCTGGGAGTGTCCGCAGTGGTATGAGAAGTGGACATACTGGGTATACACTGGTCGCAGTGGTTATGATGTTATGAAAGAAGTGGTCTGATGCCATCAGTACACTTCGACCCTGGCTTTGTTGAGTACACAACTCAGCCTACTCGATCCTTTCATTGCTTGCTGGAGATGAAGCACCCAATGGGGTCACAGGAGGACCCTGGGGATTTCAAGCAAATTATTGCCAAACAATACAGAGGCGGCAAAAAACATGTTGCATTTGCAGGGGAGAATCTGGCGGATGAAGCCTTGCAAACCGCCACAACCTTGCATAATGAACTTATCGGCGCATGCCTGGCCTTGACAAAAAAACGGACCTCGAAGGCCGACTCGGCTGTTTCGCTAGTTGAGATGTGATTCTATCATATTCTATCTAGTTACAGTATCCCTGGATATCTCTGGGGTTTCTTGTAGGAACTTGATATGGAACTTGCTGGTTTCAACTTGTTTCAACCTACTGATGTCTTCACATTGGACATCTCCGCAAAGGGGGGTTACACGCTGCCTCTGCCAAGCCGTTGGATTGAAAGTCATGGGTTCGACCAAGTCATAGAACACGAAGCATATCCATGTCCAATTGGTTCCCATTGTAGATTGTTAAATATTGTTAATCTGAGATTTTAGAGCAGTGTTTTGGATTTTCAATTATCTTGCATTTCGCTTTGCATTTCATGTTCCTGTCTCCTTTGTTTCGCTTTTCTTTTTCAGCTTGGAATTCCACAACTTGCAGTAACTTGCAAAGAGACGCCAAAGAGACGTAACAAATGTTCCTGTCTATCAAACGTGAGCGTATTGAATCATGGCTGCCGGTGCAAAGTGCAAAGCTGGAGGATGGGGCTGAGGGGAGGTGGAAACTGGGTGATTTTGTTGGATTGAGTGTCCCAATTATGTGAATTTGGATTAAGTTTGGGGTGGCCTTGCTTCCTTGAACATTTTCCAGAGAGCATGCAGTTTTTTTGGCCTGTTCCAAGGATTGGAATGTGCATAAACCACTCAATATCCCAAATTGATCCAAATTGAGGGAGCGGACATTTTGATGTTGGCAACCCTGACATTCCCCCGCCTGTCTTGGAGACCGTTGTCATCCTTCACAAGGATACCGTTTTTTTAAAATGTGTTCATGAAAGTGTGAACTGGGGCGAAGATGTTCTATCCGATTCTATCTCGAAAGGTGGCGCTAAGCTACATGACCTCTCTCCGTGCGCAAGTATTGGCTGGTTCCTGTCCAAGTGCTTGCTTTTTGGCCATTTAGTCTCAATTCAGTTCTTTTTTTTTTTTAGGCCGTTCGATGAACTGTTCCGGATTATGCCACCAAGCGCGGAGGACGCTTGAATGAAGTTCCTTTTATTGTCAACATCGTCGTTGTCTCAAGACGATCTTCTGTAAACATGATGGTCTTGTCATAAGCAGATCCTACATTAAGAACATGGTTTCTCAACAGGATCCTTTTCTGACCTGATCTTATCTTTGCATGAACTTCTGCTGAAGTGATGCCAGATGCTACCTGCATATGATATTTTGATTCATATTATTATTATTATTCCAAAATTTATGACCTTATCCTAAGGAAACTAAGGAAACAGTATGTTAGGGTCATCCTATGTGAACCTGATCTCATTTGGACAGGATCTTCTGTCAATATGAATGGTCTTATTTTCAGAGGATCTTATATGAAGAATATCCTATCTGAAGAGGAACATGTGTTGATTGTATGTAAACACAATCTTGTTGTAATACGTTCTTGCCGATTGTTTAAAGATAAGTTCACACAGGAAATCACAGAAGAAAAGTGCTGTCAGATCTCACCTTTGACGAGGTCATGGAAAGTCTTGTGGTTCGACAGCATGACAGCATGACTTTACCTTAGTGAGGAGGGCCTCGAGATTACCTGATCTTTATATACTGTATAATGATTTTGATGATTAAATTATTTAACCTTGAGAGTAGCTTATATCTTATCTTAAGATGATCTCTCGATCGATGTCATGGTAACATAATGGGATCTTGCAGTGGACTTTTGATAACTTGATCTATTCTTACGATGTTCTCTTGTAAACACGACCTTATCTAGACATGGTAAAACCCCAAGACTACTGTTTCTTATCGTATGCAAACAATTTTTTCAATATGTTTGTATACAAATATGATCTTACATTATGATGACATGATGACTTTATGTTGGAGCTTACCTTACGAAGATCTCATGTTAAATGCTAATATCATCTTTTCTTTTCATGATCTCATCTCAACCTGTCCTTATGTTAGGACGATCTTATCTTGAGAATTCTTAAGACATCTTTTTCTCCTACTGCAAGGTGAGGGGTCTCTGAATTTATGTCACTTAACTTATCTCTGCTCCCATCAATGCAGTGGGAAACGTGAAGGATGATGTGATATGGCCTGGTGTCAGGATATATCTGACTGAATCTGACTCCTAAGTTTGGTTTTAGGCAAACATTAGAGGAACTTCCCAGATTTTGGTTTTCGCCCGTATTTCCTGTGAAATGGACCAAAAATGACCAGATGCCAGAGATAGTTTCAATTCTACAGCCAGGGTATATCTGACTGCATATTTAGAGTGCAAAATGATACATGTCCCTTGCCGGTTGGTCGATTCACAAAGGAATAGTAGGTAAACGATGACAAATGAATACAACTGGCTTACCGAACCCGCCCCTGCATGTTTGGAGGACATTGTTGGGCAAAGCTGTCCCTTCAAGGCATGCCTTGAGGGTGATGTGCAAGGTCCGCTGCCCAGCCTCCCGGTGTAAGTTAGGTAAGTTAGATGGGCCGTCAGTGGTTGTTTGGTTTGTTTGCTCCCGTGCCACTCGCTGAGCCTTTTTTTGGATGTGGCAAAGTACGCATCCGACCTTGCTGTAGACGATTGGACGTGGAAAATCGTGTTGGAAGGTCAAAGAAGCACAGCCTAGGTTTCCGATTGAACAAGGAAAAGCTAGCACATGTTGCAGCAAACCCGAGGAGGAGTTTATGCCTTGTGCATCTGTAGGCACACAAGAATTGAAATATGCATGTGCTCTTGGGATATGTCGAGTCTGACATTTTGGGAGTGCCACAGAAAATCAGAGATCCCCTGTGACTTCAGCCAATGCCATGTCAGCCGATGTCACTGTTCTTGGTGCGGGCGTGAAAGGTGACGAGGCGCGAATTTGGAAATGGGAAATGTTTGCAAAAGAAATGGAATATTGGAATATAATGAAGGAGTATGAAAAGAGTATGAAGGGGCGAATCAGTGTGACCTTGAAGGAATTGCAAAATGGTGATGTGTTAGGCGCATTGAATAATTTCCAGACCATGACCCTGCATCATTTGATCCAGAGACTGTGTCCTGGGAAGAAATCTAAAGTCTAAAGAGTTTAAAGAGTCTAAAGAGTCTAAAGAGTCTAAAGAAAGAGTCTAAAGAGTCTAATCCAAGTTTTGGATATTTTTGGATCACTTCTCCTCAAACTCAAATTGCCCTTCAAGGAGGCGCCGGAGCTTGAGGGTGGAAGTTTGCTCGAGGATGGTGGGGTGAAGCGGGTGAAGCGGGTGAAGCAGGAAGCGCATTTTCATCCCAGCTTTTGTCAAGCAGTTCTTGCTTGGCGCTTTTCGCTGCTGCTCCTTTGCAACTGTTTGTGTTTGTCAGGCTGCTTGGCGCTCTTCCTCTTCTCTTCTTTGGGTGTTGATTTTGGGATGTTCGAGGTCTTGAGCTCGAAAGTCTCTCGACAGCCCAGCCAGCCCAGCCAGCCCGTACCCCTGACTTCAGATGCCATGGCCATATCTCACACATATGTCACAACCCCATCCCCGCTGAGTGCCATATCTCACCCAACAGCAGCAACTTTACCTGAGTTGGGTGAGTTGAGGCCTGCCAGGCCGGCCATATCTCACTCAACCCCTGCGCCAAGTGCTCACATAGCAGCCGGACGGCGGGATCCATCCAGCATTCCCAATGCGACTCTGAGCACCACGCCCTGGGTGGTCCATCGATTTGCGAAAGCCGGAGTTTCGCCCCATATGTGCCTCCAGTGCCTTATGGTTGGAGGCTTATTCATGCCAGTCTTGGAACTGCAGGTGGAGTACGCCAGACGCCACGGCTACGATCTCTACACCTATACTGATGAATCGGAGCAACCGGATGAATCACATGCAATTCATTTTTGGAAGATGAGATCAACACAATATTTGATAGAGAGTGGCACGACTGGGTGCGACTACATTTTTTGGATGGATTCAGATGCCATTATCATGAACATGTCCTTTTCTCTGGAAAATCTCATCCATTGGGACGGAATGGAAGACACTGACATTGTGTTGGCGGCAGATACGCTGGCCGCGAATCTGGCTCAAAGTCTTTGGAAGTTCAGCCGATTCACGCACCAGATTTTGGAAGATTCATGGAACATGGGCAGTTTTGCTCCTCTGGTAGAGACGGGGGCCTTTAATGCAATTCTCGGAGGATGCCAGCCAGAAAGCAGTCCAGAAGAAAAGCGTGCTTGCTACAAGAAGATGGACCGCTGGAAAAACCGCGCATTTGCGCAGGAGTATTTCTATCCAGGAAAGAATAGCAAAATCAAAGAAGTGGTGGTGAACAAGAGCTTGCTGCCCCACGTAAAGTGGGTTCCAAAGCGTGCTATCAATTCCTATCCGTTTGGTTATTTTGGAGGTCAATACCGCTGGGGCGATCCAGACTTTATAGTGCATTGTCCCAGCACTAAAGGGAAGGCCGAAGCTTGGTGGGTTTGGATTCAACACTTTTTGTATGTTGCAGGGCGGACTGGAAGAGACTCCTTACTGACCTCATCATGAATACGGTTGATGTCCAGGCAAAATCATTGTTAACCTGTCTATTGTTTTGTTTCGTTCAGGTGGCCCTTCCTTATTTCATGTTATTTGTTGGTTTCCATCTTTGATCCAACCCGAGAAAGAATTTGGAGCGAGCAAAGGCGGTTTCAACATGTTTCAACGGCTTTAAACATCTTTTACCATTCCATCGACTTTAGTTGGCGTGATTTCCTGTCCATTTTTGTTGAAATTCATCTCCCCCAATTTCCCAGCACACTGCATCCCAAATCATCCCAACCACCCGTGCCAAATCGTGCCAAGATGTTTTTACCGCACTACATCGAGCGGGGCCTGTTGAATGCCGGCCTGCGCCCTGATCCAGCGGCAGACGCCCGCAGAGATCCCAGTGCTGTGCCCAACGCCACCAGCAGTACCAGGCCCTGGGTCATTCACCGATTTGCCCGGCCAGGGCGGCCAGGGGTGTCGCCCCATATCTGTTTGCAGCTTGGTGCCATCAAAAAATGCGAATTTTGATTTACTTTGTTTCAGTTTTCCCAAGATCCAGAGAGATCCAGAGAGATCCAGAGAAACTGCCGTTTTTTCAATTGTTTCGGGCCCAAAGAAGCAAATTCAAGGCAGTCACGATGGGTTGAACGGCATTCTTTCAAGGACGACAACAAGATGAAAATGCAGGAACTAAGAATTCACTATGCCAAACTTCATGGCTATGACCTCTACAGTTTGGGATCCGAGCCAACAAGGCCCAGGCTCACCAGAAGGGAGTCGACCCAACTTTTGATCGAAAAAACTGACTGTGACTACATCTTCTGGTTGAGCGTCGATGCAATCATTGTGGACATCAACTTCCAAATTGAGAGCTTGATCAAGTGGCAAGGTGCCGACACAGATCTCGTAGTGGCCGGGAATTATGCTGTTGTGAATTTGGTCACAGCACTCTGGAAATCCAGCAGCTTTAACCGCCTCCTGTTGCAAGACTTGCTGGAAATTGTGCCCGGCAGTGAAGGCCGATCAGCCACTGCATCCATGAGCGCCTTGCTGGGTGGATGTGGGGTCACAAGCAGCGAAGATGAGAAGGATATTTGTCGGGCCAAAGTTACTCAGGTGAAAGGGTCACATAAACCCGCCGTCTTGCCTGTTATGGAGGCCATTCGGAATGGAGATGGTGCGGCTTTAGGAGAACGGGTGGTGAACAAAAGCTTATTGCCTCACATGAAGTGGGTTCCGAAGCGGCTCATTGGTGCGCGCCCAGATGAACTCTTTGGGAATTTCGATTCCAATGAGACAGTAGGAGTTTTCTTGGTATATTGTGGTGGAATCACAGGAGGCAGATACATCCACAATTTCTTGCCATCAGCACAGAAGAATGCGGGCCTAAAGCCCTGAGACTTGTCTGGCCGTCGAATTTGATCCCACGTCGCTGATCCAAAGATGATCTCGCAGCATGCCCTGAATTCAAACGCCCTGTACTTCAGCACCAAACCAGGAGCCTTGCCAGCCTGCCCCGAGTCTCCATCAAGTAGAAGGTTGCAACATAGAAATTTCAGAATACATTTCTGATTGAAATAGATTGAAATAGATTGAAATAGATTGAAATAGATTGAAATAGATTGAAATAGATTGAAATAGAATGTGGCACTTTGGTATCAGAAAATCTCAGGATTTATCGGGTAAAACTCGGTAAAACTCGGTAAAACTCTGTCAAACTCTGTCAAGCTGGTGCATATCCAGCAGCTGGGATCCTCCAGGTATCAAAAATTGTGGGACTTCGTGAAATTTTGGGCAGGGTCTTTACATCTTTTCATGTTTTGGTTGACATGGAGATCTTGTTTCACATGTAGATTTGCATACTGGATCACAAACAGAATGACACATTTTGGCTTGAGACCATACTGATTCATGCAGGGCCGGGGGTCGAAATTTTCTACCCCCCAAATCGATCCAAATCAATGATTAATACCGATTACCTTATGGTCAAATGGAAAGTCCGTTGGAAAAAAAACTCAAGATTTTTCCCATATTTTCAAGACATTAATATCATTAATTTGATTTGATCAAATTTGATCAAAGAAACAGCAGTAACGGCAGTAGACAGATCGAGCGACATTCCACGGCACCTCTTCGACGTTCCCACGTCGTTCTTCCAGATTTGGTGCAGAAAGTGCCACGCCGACGATGAAACGTCCAATGTCCTGCGCCACAAAACGACGTTTCCAGACCTTAACACAGCTCAAAAACGCAGCGGTAAAAGTAGCCCTTCGGAAGAGAGGTCTCCGGCCTGCGCAGTCGAAATGCACATGTACGATGCATCACCGATGCCAAATGCCAGTGAAATTGCGTGTTTTGACGATTTCGTATTGTGCCGGCCATGTGCCCCATTTTGGAGCCAAGTTGGGCCGAAGTTGGAGCCAAGTGGGCCCGAGTTGGGCCGAAGTTGGCTGAAGTTGACCCCGCGGCCATGTCGGATCGAAAAGGTGACTTTGGACGATTTTGTTCCGATATGCGAAACGATGCAAAACGTGCAAATTACCATAGGTGAGATCTCTCTTTTTGGCACCGGGTCGATCCTGAAAATGCTTCCCCACCTGAACCTTTACAAGACAGACAGGTCGGTCCATTCGTATCACTCGGTGCTAAATTACCACGCCTCGGCACCTTCGGTGCGGGCGGAGTTTATGCACATTTTTTTTTCAAAATATTTGATATTAGTATGATTATAAATTAAAATACCCCCGTTCGAATTTCCCTTACAGAATGGAAGGGGTCGACCCCACTGTAAATGGTTTATATATAGGCATTTTGTAGTTACAATGATCCCCCTAACCAGGGCATTTTGTAACAGGGCACCCAAAAGGCAAAGTTGTAGATTTTCAAGTGCTCATTTTGTAAGAGTTTTGAGGTGCTAAGTCATTTTGTAAGACCATCGAGTTTGTCTTTTTGAGGCTTTTTGTAAGCTCAAGATGTTGTTATTGAACATCAAAAAAACGAAAAAGAACTCAGCAGGGTGTGCAATGACATTTTGTAAGGAGATGTCGTCAAGAGTAGAAGAACCTTTTTGTAAGAATATATGCTTTTTAGGCACTGATACAAAGTATGGCACAGTTCAAGTTTTAGGGCAGCCATGGCAGCAATTTTGAGTTAAATTTGGATTTGGTGGAGGCACCAACTTTCTTCTTGGTGTTGTGTTGGCCAAGGATGGCCAAGGATCTTTTGCAAGTTGTAAGTGTGACGACGTTCACGGCTATCTTATGTTTTCATTTTGTACATGTTCTTTTTTCGTGTTCAATTTTTACTTTTTTTTTTTTTTTAAACTCATGCGATAACACAAATGCGAGACATCATGAGAGGAGTTCTGGTAGGCAATGAGGCCAAAGAAGCAAAAATACAAAAATATAAAACAACATAAAAGGTGGCAAAAAATGGAATCCTTACAAAAAGGCTGCTTGAAAATCAGCGAGTCCGGGAAAACCAGAAACAAGGAACCAGAAGTTGTTTCCTTAGAAAATGATGCCCGAAAACACTATCTAAAATCACAACTTCTTATAAAACGATATAAAAAGGTCATCGAGTAGGATGCAACTTTCATATCATGAAGAAAGTCGTCGCCTTATAAAATGGTATAGGTGTTTGAAGTCGAATGTGGGTGCTAAAAACCTATGCTTTTTGTAAGGGCCAAAATTCCCAAAAACCAATTCTTTTTATAGGGTTTTTGAAAGTCCCCTGGAATTATCTTACAAGAAGCCGGGTGCGACGTCTCCCCCCTAATTAGATCGGGTATATTAAAACGATCTTATGTTGACATCATCTTACCTTACGAAGATCTAATGTTGAATGCTGACATGTTTTTTGCTTTATATAAAATTTCCTGTTAACCTGTTACCACCTTCAGAATCAGATGAACTTATCTTGGCAAATCTATTTCTCCTACTGCCATGCTGCAACGTGAGGGGTTTTTGAATTCATGGCATTTACTTTTGTTCTCTTCCGCTCCCATAATGGATGATGTGATCTGGGTTTGAGGAACAAGATGCAGCCCACGAACCCAAATGCTCACACGTATGTTAATGGTACAGATGTCGAAACACACGGATATGCAGTCACGCAGAACACTTTTGTGAAACAGTGTATTTGAACAGTCTTGTGCATTTTTCCCTTGTTACCATACCAGTGCACCGTAGACTGTGGAATATGGAAGAAGGTGGCGTGATAAGTGTGGAGTGTGGAGTGTAGAGTCTGGAGTGTACAGCGGAGTGTAAAGTGCAGAGGGTGGAGTGTAAAGTGTGGAGCGTGGAGTTTAGAGTGCGGAGTGTAGAGTGCAAAGTGCAAAGTGTGGAGTGTAAAGTGTAAAGTGTGGAGTGTAGAGTGCAGAGTCTGGAGCTTGGAAGTGTGAAGTGTGGAGTGTAGAGTGTAGAGTGTGGAGTGTGGAGTGTAGAGTGTGGAGTGTAAAGTGTAGAGTAAAAAGTGTAGAGTGTAAAGTGTGGAATGTATAGTGCGGAGTGTAAAGTGTAAAGTGTGGAGTGTAAAGTGTAGAGTGTGGAGTGTGGAGTGTAGAGTGTGGAGTGTAAAGTGTGGAGTGTGAAGTGTAAAGTGTGGAGTGAAAGTGTAGAGTGTGGAGTGTGTAGTGTAGAGTGTGGAGTGTAAAGTGTAGAGTGTGGAGTGTGGAGTGTAGAGTGTGGAGTGTAAAGTGTGGAGTGTGAAGTGTAAAGTGTGGCGTATAAAGCGTGGAGTCTTGGGTGTCCTGTGCAGAGTGCGGAGTGTAAAGTGTCGAGTGAAAAGTGTAGAGTGTGGAGTATGAAGTGTAAAGTGTAGAGTGTAAAGTATAGAGTGTGGAGTGTGGAGTGTACAGTGTAGAGTGTGGAGTGTGGAGTGTGAAGTGTGGGGTGTAAAGTGTTGAATGTGGAGTGCAAAGTCTGTGTGGAGTGTGGTGTGAAGTGTCGAGTGTGGAGTGTGGAGTGTACAGTGTAGAGTGTAGAGTGTGGAGTGTAGGGTGTGGAGTGTAGAGTGTAGATGTAGAGTGTAAGGTGTGGAATGTAAAGTGTGGAGTGTGAAGTGTAAACGGTGGAGTGTGGAGTGTAGAGTGAGGAGTGTGGAGGGTAGAGCACGCAATGCGACACGTTTGAAGTGCTGCTTTCTGCCACGCAAAATGACGACAGAGATCTCCAAAATTCTGTGCCTGCCTCGAAAACTGCAACTCATCTTGTGAAAACGACGCAAAGCTTCATTGTTTTCATGTGTTAGGAAATCAACCGCCTGCATCTTTTGGGCTTATAGCTCGGCAGTTTCTATATGTGATGAGCAGGATCCAATCTCCTTTGTGCACTTACTGCAGGAGGTGGCCTTGTTCAGATCATTTAGATTCAGATAGCTGTCGATTGTGTCGTTGCTGTTTTCAGATTTCCCAATTTGGACGTGACCAAAGCCTTACTGAACAAAGATACCTTGATCTGGTAGCCCGCTTGACTGTGATCCTTGGCGAATTGGCTGCACACTCCTCCTGGCCCTGGGAATTAGGTAGGAGCACTGAAAGCCAAAGCAGACCCCAAGATCACCGCAGAGTGAGACCATCCAGTAGGTCATCCTCTGATCGTAGCTCCCTTCGTCGCCGGATCGGGTGCCAGATTGCAAGGGAAGAAAGGCAGGAGGAAACTAGGGAGGCTAGGTCTTCTCCAACCCTCAAGCCGCGTAGCAGTCGAGGCCAAGAAACTTGGACCCCTACTTTGAGGCATCGCGGTGCTCCCAGCCCAAACCGTCCTGTCCATTCGGCACAACCGGCTCTTGAGCTCAGGCCTGCCCCGCGACCTCCTCACAAACAGGAGGGTGATCAAGCAGCACCTCACTACAACACACCTCCACCACCTCCGCCTCCAAAAAGGTCTACTGAGAACAACCAGGTAGCCAGAGGAGCAAGGCAGGAGACAGCCAGGCAAGGCAAAGGCAAGGGTGGCAAAGGCAGTGGTATAGAGGAGAGAAGAAACCGAAAAAGAAAAACCGTGGAAAGCAGCGCAAGATCTATTGGGCAGCCAGGTGTGAAGCAAAAGGAAAAGGCAAAGGACAAACCACAACAGACAAACCTCAAAACCAAGCTCCTCAAGCTTGTGTACCTTCTCCTTCTTCGGAAGAATCCCCTTCTTCTGAAGAACCCTCAGAGGAGAGCGGGCGGAGCAGAAGAGCTCGAAAAGGAGAAAGGTGGAGACCAACCCCAAACTACCCCGGAAAGGATCCCATCTTGGGCTGATGCCTCTCAGGAGACCAGCAGCTAAGCCGAGACCAATCCCCAAAGCAAAAGAAAAAACAAAAGCAAAGCCGAAACCCAGACCCAGAAGCCAGGCAAAACCTGCCCCACACACAGAAGAATGGATTGCAGTAGAGAACCTCAAAGAAGACACTTTCAGCCTCTCTTCAACCCTACACCTGGAAGTATGGTACGGGGGAGAGACCGGAGAGGCAGCAGCCATCCTGGAACAGTTAGTCTGCGACCAAGAAGGGAAGTGGCTAGCGGTGCGAATCTTGGGCAGCAACCTTGCCCCCCTTCGAGACTGGAGAAAAGCCAGCCCGAGCGCTCTGTTTTGCTGCTGTTGCGAAGCAATTCCTGCCAACAAAAGGCTGAGTATTCCAGGAGTAGGCTACACCCTGAAAGCAAAACTTCTGAGCCAAGAAACAGAGTGGACGTCAAATGCCGTGGGCGACCACCATCCTCCCCCACCAGGCGAAACAGAGAACTTGAAAAAGGTCGCCGAACAGTTTGGCTTTCCCCAAGGAGGCGGAGCAGATCCCCCTCCTTTAGAAACAGCTCCGAAGCAGGATGTGCCCGCAACTTCTTCCAGCAAGAAAAAGAAAGGAAAAAGGAAAGTCAAAGACATGTTGGAAAAAGCTCGATGGAGAGTGCAGGGCACGCCTTTGGACCCCCATTACAAGAGGCCTATCAGGTTGAGCACCAAAAAGAAGAAGAAGAAGAACTCTTCCAGCGAATCGACCAGCAGGTCAGCAAGCCTTTCCAGCGAGACAAGCGAACCCCTAGAGTCCGAGCATCGCTTGCGAAAAATTGCCCAGAAACTCCCAGGGTATCTAGCGTGCAAAGCGTCCAAGGAGGCAGCCAACATCCTCTCCCAGAGCACTGGGGAAGGGGAATGGGGAGTAGGCTCGGAGTAGGAGTGTACAGGCGGTACTACCGTCAGATTTTCGCACCCAAAGTGACAAGCAAAGCCATCCAGAGAGAAATGCTGACTTTATGCGCAGTCCTCGATCATTTGCTGGACGGCCAGATTCTCACAGTAGCAGACATAGCTGCTCAAAGGCCGAAATCTTTGGAGTTGCTGGCCGGCGGCAGCCCCGTCGAGCTTTCCAGCCAATTAGAAATTCTTCCCAAGGAGCTGTCCAACTTGGCGGGCCAAGAGGAGTCAAGATTTGTCCGAAGGGAATTTCAGAACGAGACCAAATTGAACCGCCAGTTAAAAGGCGGAGGAAAAAGCCCGGGAGGCAAGGATCAATTTCCGACTCGAAGGGCGGCAAAGCCCAGCAGTCGAAAGTCGTAGAGGTGAGTCAAACTTGAAGGAGGGTGGGGACGACCTCCTGTAGGAGAGGCTATCGGTTTCTCCTCTGCAGCCGAATTTCGGTTGTCGCGCGCGTCGGCCCGGGGTGGGGCGGAGCGCGATGTCGGTTTTTCCGCGTCGGGTACAAGGCGGGGAAAGACTGTTTCTGATTTGGTGTATCAGGGAATGCGGGTTCTGCAATCCTTCCCCACTGAAAATTTTTCTAGGGCGCGAGACTTTAGTAAGGAAGAGATTTTTCCTCTTCCCTCACACGAGGAGGTTAGCTCTTTTGAGTGTGAGATCAATAAGTTGTGGGCAGAAGGGATTGTGCGATGCCTAAATTGGATGAACGTAGGAAATTTTGAGTTTGGGAAAGGCAAACCGTCCCGAGAGCAGAGAATGCTCCTAGAGGGGATAGTGCGGGAATTGCCCCTGGTGGAACTTCGTCCCTAGAAGATTTCGACCCCAAAAAAGTTTGGTCTCAAAAAACGATCAACGATTATGGGGAAGAGGTGCATATTGCTCGGAGTTTGAGGTGGGAGAACATTTCTGAAAGCCTTCCCCGGGAAGGAGTAGCCGGAATTTTGAATGCCTCTGAAGTTTGCGAGGACGGAATCAAAGAGTTCCTCTTGCATCCTGATTGGTGGCTAAAACCGGAATCAGATCGGGTTTGGCTTAAACCCCCCAAAGTAATGATACCCCGGGATTGTTGGGAGGAGGTCGCTGAAGGTCTCCTGAATAGGGGGGTTTGTGGAGTTTTCCCGTTGGAGAATGTTTTTCGGGTAGACGATAAACCAATATTGGGCGGTATTTTTGGGGTACCTAAAGGCGAAACAACGAAGGATGGAGTAGAAACACTCCGCCTAATCATGGATTTGCGACCAATAAATTGCAATTTCTTGTCCTTGGGAGGTGATTTGGGATCCTCCCCATGATTTCGCAGCTCTTCCAATTGGAGCTTCAACCGCACGAACAGATACTCATATCATCTGAAGATATTAGAGCAATGTTTTACATTGTGGGAATCCCCAAAGTATGGTATCAGTTGTTGTGCTTTGACCGCGTGGTCCACCCTCGATTCAATCCACCTGGAGATCCACGACCCCACGTCCTACACAGCCGGGTGTTACCCATGGGGTATATAAATAAATTCGGTAGCCATAGCTCAACACTTGCATCGGCGCATGGCGGCCAGGGCCATGGCTGCTTCACGCATTGTAGGCCCCCAAGACGAAATCAGGCGGGATCTGGAGCTGCCAAGAACCCAACGTGCTTTTCGGGTGTATTTGGACAGCTTTGACCAGTTGTCCAAAGTATCCCAAAGGGTCATATTATTCCATACTCCCTCCTTGACAGAATTTCTGAGGAAGGAATACTTGCGGTTAAAGGTGCCCCGAAATGAGAAAAAGGCAGTTGATAGGCAAGCGCAGGCGGAAGTGCAAGGAGCATGGATCGATGGCAATGCAGGTTTTTGTTGTGCAAAGGTTGGCAAAGTCAGTAAATACTTGTGGGCCCTCCTAGACCTCCTAACAAAGAAGGAGGTCAGCCAAAAGCAGATGCAAATGTTGACGGGTGGTTTAGTGTACCTGTTTGGGTTTCAAAGGCCTTTGATGTCAATTCTAAACCATGTCTGGGAGTTCATCGTGAGTTTTGAAAATGACAAGGTTGTAAAACCGATGCCGAGAAAAGTTATGGAAGAGTTGTTGGCTTCATTCTTTTTGTCCGCCACGGCTTTTATGGATTTTCGACTTTCTTCAAATCACATTGCTACATGCTCTGATGCAAGCGAGACTGGTGGAGGATTGTGCCAGTCTGTGGGGCTGACCCCATTTGGTTCTCAGGCAGCAGAGTCGCTGGTGCGAGGTGAGTTTCCAGAAGTCCAGGGGAGTTTTGGGGATCAGCGTTGGTGGGGGTGTAGGATCCTTAAGGGTTGCACTAGATAGCATTGGAGCTCCCATGTCCGGTTTCATTTCCATTGAACCAGGAGAAAACGCCCAGCGGGTCATTGAAAGTTCTTTTCCCTCCACGCGATTTCATGAATACATGGACACGGTTTGTTTTGAAGATGTGCGATCATGGGCTGCAGCGTTTCCAAATACCAAACTGGTGGTTCTTGGCGGGAGTCCACCCTCCCAAATTGCAAAAGGGCAGGGGCGAGTTGGACATGACATGTGCTTTCCTCAGGTTGAAAACTTGGCTGACAAACATTTTGCATTGGTGTCCTGTAAAGATTTTGGTTGAGTCCTCCACTTGCATAACTAAAGCTGATCGAAGTCGGTTTAGCAAAACGATCGGTTTCCTGCCGTACGAACTCGATTCTTGCGGCATTTCTCCTTGCCACCGGCCGCGGTACTGGTGGTTCAACTGGGAAGTCACCGCACAGGAAGGTGTAGAGATCTACCCTCCTTCTGACCCACAAAGTAAAAATTGGGGAAACATAATTCTTACTTGTGACTTTCGGAGCAAAGATTTCCTTCAGCCGGGTTGCGCCCTGGCAGGCGGTACAGAGCACAGGGTGCGGACTTTTACGGCCGCGCAGCCGCAGACTCAGCCAGGCTTCAAGCAAACCGGCTTGGACAATTGCAGCCAACGCGATCTGCATTATTGGAAAGAAGACAGATGCCAGTTTCCTCCTTATGTCTATCAATTCAAACGCGGGGTAATGCACAAGACACGCGGGTGGAGAATGTTGCAAGTAGAGGAGAAGGAAGCCATGATGTTCTTGCCCGTAGGCTACACATACCATTGCTGCACCAAAACCATCAGAAAGCAGAACCCGTTAGAATCGGATGACTGGCGAATGACACTTGTTGGTAGTTCGTGGCATGTAGGAGTTGTCTCTCTCCTCCTTCAGGAGCTTCTAGCGTCCCTAGGGCTCCTTCCACAGAAAACATTAGTTGAGACTCTCGCCCGGCTCAGGCCTGGCAGTGCTGAAAGCTTGGGCGCGCTGTTATTTCGACCGGCTTTTGCAACACGAAAACCTTTTTTTCCAAAGTGGTCGTGATCTGATCAAAGAGCAGAACTTAGTTTCAAGATTGTGCCACGTGGTTTCCACCAAAGGCACGGATGTGTTGCTTAAGTCCACTACTGATACAGTACCCACCAGTCATCGTTTCCGACAAAGTGTTCCCCCAAAATTGTGGAGGTGGAAGGTTGTTTGCAGCTGGCGGTGGCCTGTCAGCCCACACGGTCCCAACACATAAACAAACTTGAAATCAAAGCCATCTACACATCCCTGAAATGGCGTATATTCCAACAGAGCGTCTCCAAGAGCAAGTGCCTCCATTTGGTAGACTAAATGGTTTCACTTCAAATTCTCAATAAAGGCCGGTCGTCAAGCCATAAACTGCGGTTGGTTTGTAAGAAGATAGCTTCCCTCCTGATTGCTTCTTGGATACTCCTGGTCTTGTCATGCGTAGAATCTTCCCGAAATCCGGCCGACAGGCCGAGCCGAAAACCTCAGAAACGAAAATGGGGAAGCGTAAAATAGTTGAAGCAGTTGACAAGCAGGAGCGTATCAAGAGGCGCAAAGGATTGGGAAAGCTAGCAGATTTAGTTATCCAACCACCCACTGCCACTAGGTATGAGAAAGCCTTAAAAAAAGTTTTTCGGGTATTTGCAACAACAAAAACAGCATATTGGAGATTCCCATTTGGCCGTTGACCAGCAACCTCTATCTTTGGCAGGTGACAGCATTTCAGCAGTACAGCATCACCAGCCCTCCTTGCGTAAGCGTTTATCAGGAGCTTGGCGTTTGTATAAGGCATGGCAGCAAAGAGAGCTCCCAGCCAGGTCACCTCCTTTCACCATAGAAACGCTCCAAGTGTTGCTCGGTTGGTTGCACAGCAAATCTCCACCGGTTGCCTTAGCTGTTTTCCTTGCTTTCCGATGTTTGCTAAGAACTGGAGAAATGTTAGCAGTAACTGCCCGTGACATAGTCATTCCGTCGAATTCTTGTTCAGGTGGGAGACACAAAAACTGCAGGACGGAATCCAAATGCAGGGATGGTGAACCTAACTGACCCGACTTTAGTTTTTTGCTCAAAGCTTGGACAAGTACAGTATTCCCTCACACAGCTTTGATCCCTTGGTCGTCTACAAAATTTCGCGCGCTATTTGAGGAAGGTTTAGTCGCAACAAACCTCCAACACTACAAATTCAAACCGTATTCCCTACGCCGGGGAGGAGCCACAGATCAATGGCTCCTGACCAAAAATTATGCCCAGGTTTCACATCTAGGAAGGTGGTCTTCAGAAAAAACGTTAAAAATCTACATCCAGGATTCCGTTGCCCTCCTCACAACTTTGCAATTTCAATCCTCTCCTACTCAACAGCGTTGGACCAGCTATTGGCTAGCCTTTGTCTCACAGACAAAAAGGAGGGGGACGTGGAAGGAGGTCAAAGTGAAACTTTGTCTCTCCTAAAAAAGGTTGTCTCATTTTTGTTTTTTCAAAAATTTGACTCCTAAACCATGTTACTAGTCAAAGTCAAAATGTTGTTTACAAAAGAGGCAGGGGGGAACGCGTTCTGTTTTATTTTTTCTTTATACCAACCAAGTCTTGCGCCAGCACCAAAAGGAGCGAGGGTGTTTTCCTAAGTATTGCAGCTGCCACACAAAACGACTTTTGATGTGTTATCAAACAGGTTGGAATGTTACAAAGTGCCGCGCTTGCCACGCAAAACAACACTACAACTTGCTTTGACGCCTTCGAAAAGGAAAGGTTTTGCAGCTTTTCTCATTGACACGGCGATGCCACAGGAAAACCAGAGACCCGAGACGAGACACGTGGGAGCATCAAAACGAGCATTTCGTGCGAGAGTTCCTCCAATTTTCACACTTTGTATCCTGAGTCTCGAAATCTAGTGATTTTAGTAGCCCGTTAATTTACTTAAATTTTCAAATTTAGTAGTAAAATTTACTAGGACCTAGTAAAGTAAATTTTGCAATTTACTAGCCATAGTAAAATTTAGTAGCCAAGTAAATAAATTTTACTAGCCAAGTAAATTTTTGGTGTGCTTGTTTTTTGAAACAAAATTGGTGAAAAATCGATAGCTAGGAGCTAAAATTTTATTTATGAGACTTTACGAGAATGGTGAAATTTCATACACTAATTGTGACATTTGAGGATACCAGTGATGTTTTTCATGTACTTGCGAGACTTATAGTATACTTGTGGGAATGAAGAATATATTTTTGAAACTTTGAGTTTTAGCTTGAAATCTAAAAAGATTGTGGGACCTTCGGTTGTCATTTCAAAACGAATTGTAAGACTCGAAGCCAATGCAAAGGTAAGTATTAAATTCTAAAAGGCATTATTTAGATTCGAAAACTATTCGAGACTGTAGGATACTTGTGAGGCGAAATCGAATCAAGTCACGTTTGCTTCCACAGCCCAAGATGAATACTAAGATAAGATAGAGGTGAAGGCAAGTCATCACATGTACAATGCATTTGATAACTTCTAGTCATTGTTTGGCTTCCACCTCACAAGTAATTTTCACATGTAAGCGTCATTGTTTGCTTTTAACCTCACAATTTATTTCCACATGTAAGTGTCATTGTTTAGTTTGAACCTCACAAGCAATTTTCAACTGTAAGTATTATTGTGGAGTTTCAATATCACAAGTAAAATTCACATGTAGGTGTTATTCTTGGGTTTTTAACATCACAAGTGATTTTCACATGTAGGTGTTATGGTTTAGTTTTAACCTCACAAGTAATTTCCACATGTGAATGTAACTGTTTAGTTTTGACCTCACAAGTAATTTCTACATATGGGGATGTCTCAAAATGAGGTGTCCGTTTTTTCCCTTAAAGTAGCCATTTTGGAACCAAAAACGGACACCTCATTTTGAGACATATCCATATAAAATGTACCTTAATATTTTTCAAGTCAATCAGACGATTTTTTTGGGAGAACCAACACAGCAACAACGATTTTGAAAGAAAACCGTTGAATATGGCTAAGTTCCTAAGTAGTTATGTTTCATATATTATATTTAGATGAAAATTCACATGTTGCTGTGCTGACTTATATCTGCTTAGCTCAGCGCTGAACAACAACTTCCCATTGTGAAAATATCATATAGTACTGCAAATGCTCCATTGAATTTTCACTTGTTTGCATCACATTGCATCTTTTCACTTTGCTGCAACCGCAGCTACCCTTTTCGAGATCAAACCACCTGGCGCAGGAAAAATCCAGGTGCTGTCCGCTGCTGTTGAGGTAGCACAAATCGAGAAGTGTAACCGGAGGTAAGAGGTGAGAAGGTACCTGCGCATCTGCAGGTTATGAGCCCAAGCGGTTCAAGATGAGTACTCAGATGAGAAGAAGACGAGCTACGCCTGAGGAGCTTGCTCAAGGCGAAGCAGAGATGAGAAGTGCGCAGGAAAGAATGGCAACTGAGGCCTTAGAAAGAGGTGAGGTTCCCATAGAAGATGTCAAGGAGAAACAAGGGTAAGAGGCAAAGGTTTCTAAGTCTCGTCAGACTCCAAAGGGAAGCGAAGATAGAGATAGGAAATCTAGTCAGCCCTCACCGGCAGCGATGCCTGCTGGTTCACCGAAGTCCTTGTGTCCTCCTAGCCAACCACCTGTCATCCCTCCTGAGGAGTTTGTGCAGGCTGAGATGAAAACCCCGGCTCCTAAGGAAACTCAGGTGCCACGAGCTTTGCAAGATGATGGTTCTGGACATCGCCCTCGAGGTTCCTTGGAAGATCCAATCAGGGAAGATGTGGTGTCTGAAGTTTTGAGATCAGCTAGCCCAAATGGACCAAACGTCACACCCGGTCCAACACCACCTGTCAGTGTGCAAACCCCATTGTTCACCGATGAGCAAGTTGCCCAGTTGTTGAGACTGCACAACCAAGCTCCTTGGCTCTATGGTGGCATGACCATGGGAATCACACCACAGGTGACACGTCCTGCATTTCTGCCGACAGAGGAAGATGTAGGATCACAGTTTGTGAGAAGTAGGCAGTTTCAAGAACGAATGGAAGCTGAAGAAATCAGAAGGAATATGGAGATGGTTTTAGAAGAGAACAGGCTGTTGAAAGGTAGGCTAGCTCAGTTGGAATCGAAAGTTTTGGATGAGCCACGTTTTTCAACCCCTGAAAGTCAGAAGGGTGTCGATGAAGTGCAGCCACCAAGAAAGGAGGCTGCAGACCCCCATTTGTCAGGTCAACCACAGAAAAGCTTCAAGGAGGCTGAGACCCCCACAAAAGCGCAGGAGGATGGGCCCAGAGGCCAGCAAGGCTTCAAGGAGGCTGAGACCCCCACAAAAGCGCAGGAGGATGGGCCCAGAGGCCAGCAAGGTTTCAAGGAGGCTGAGACCACCACAGAAGCTGAGGACGGGCCCAGAGGCCAACAAGAAAAAGCGTATGGAACCGATCCCATAGCCCAAAAGAACATGGAGTTCATGGTGTTGATGGTTGAAACTATGAGGGAGCTTCAAAAGAAGGTACAGGAGGGAAGGGAAGACGCTGGAACAGTGAAAGGCGTTGAAGTCATTCGTCATGGAGGTCCAGATCTCCCACTACTTCCTGCCTGGAATCCTTCGCAGGGACCGTTGCAGCTGGGGGACTGGCTGTTGCTGTTGGGACCAGTGGTGTCTGATCTCACCACAACAAGTGAGGAGTGGTGGCAACTTATGACCAAGTCAACAGAAGAATGGTATCAACAGCACATGGCTATGAACCCCATTCAAAGACTTCAACATGCTGCAACGCCTCCGTCATCTTTGCAGCAAGAACGATGGCAGAGACTTGAACGGAGGATGTCGTCCATGCTTTTGCAAAGTGTCACAGAAAATGTTAGAGAAGAGCTGATTGCGTCGAGGAGGTTGGACGTTTTTGGAGTCCTAACCCATCTCTACCTCGTCTACTGCCCTGGAGGAGTCATGGAGAAACAGACTTTGCTGAAAAGCCTTGAGGAGCCAGCAGAGGTCACTGTGTTGAGCGAGGCGCCAAATGCCTTGAGACGATGGATGAGGTGGAGATCAAGGACGCAGGAGATTGGGGCTATAGCTCCAGACCCAGCCCTTCTCCTGAAGGGCCTGAACAGAATGACCAGGCGAGTTTTGGATGCTCACAAAGATCTTCAATTTAGAGTGTCCCTTGCAAGATCGACCTTGGGGGTAGACACAACCCCTACAGAGACCAATGTTGGCCAATTAGCCACACACTTGTTGGCGGAGTTCGAACAAGCATCGCTGACAGAGAAGAAGGCAGGAACAGGCAACAACAGAAGCGAAGCAGTGAAGCTGAAGAGTCTGGAGGCTGAGAAAGGCGAGAAAGGCAAAGGGAAAGGAAAAGACAGGTCAGAGAGGTCACACGAGGAGGAGTCAGGAAAGGCCAAATGTCGTTTCTTTCTCACAGATCAAGGGTGGAGGGACGTTGAACCTGGATGTGGAAGGTCATCAAATGAAGAAAGGAAGAAGTTCTGGAAAGGTATCTGACTCAAAGCAGCTTGCGAGGTGGGCCCCAGGAGTGATGTCAATGGTGGCATCTGCCTTGATGGAACAAGTTTACCACAAAACACCAAAGCTGCGAGAACTGTCATGGAGCGAACATGTGATGTTTGGACACATACCTCACAGGAGAGACTGCAGAGTGTGCCAAGAAAGCCAGCAGATCTCCGACCAACACAGGAAGATTCCATATCCTCTTGGTGCCACTTTGTCAGTTGACGTTGCAGGGCCCTTGAAGAAGGCGTACGACAGAGGTGGAGGTCAAGCACGATACATGCTTGTAGGAGCCATGACATGGCGATTTCCCAAAGGATTGGTGAAGATGAAGCAGCCCCCAGAGGAGGAGTTGGAAGAAGACGCCCCAGAAATCGAGGTTCGAGCTGCTGAAGATCTTGAAGATGCTGGTGAGGCCCTGGATGGAGGAGACCCGGGTGAGCCCCCAGCTGGCCAAGCTGGTGACGCAGAGTCGGGTGGAGGAGACCTGGTTCGGCGCCCAGCCGGCCCTGACGGCGACGCAGAGTCGGGTAGAGGAGACCTGCATGGTTCGGCGCCCGTCAGGAGCCCCTGGCCATGAAGAAAAGGAAGAAGAGCAGCCGGGCCCAGCGATCGAAGGCCCAGACATTGAAGAAACCGAATTGAGGGTGTTTCGTTTGGGCTTGCCAATGGTGACAAAGACGTCACGTGAAGTGGCCAAAACTACGATGGAGTTCGTCTTGAAGTTGAAGGCAGATGGATTTCATGTGAACAGAATCCATACCGACCAAGGGCATGAATCCGGAACACACTTCCGAAACTGGGCCAGAGACAGAGGTATCATCGTCACTCGAACCCCTGCAGAGACGACCCTCGAGGAAATGGAAGGGCCGAATCATCTGTCAAGGCCGTGAAATGTCAGGTGAGAAAGGCACTTCGACAGGCACATGTTGGAGCTGAATGGTGGCCTTGGGCATTGCGCTATGTCGGGGAGTTGAATCGTCTGGTGAGGCTTGACAAGAAGCCTGACTTTCCGAGGTTCCTGCAAGAAGTGAGAGTGAGGAAAAGATCATGCAAGAAATCAAGCATGGAGGTCGGCGTAGAAAAAGTTTTGTACTTGGCTCCGGCACCAGAAGAACATGGCCACTGGGTTGTGAAAAAAGGAGATCCACCCAGGCTGACGAAAAGCATTTTGAGGATGACAACAGAGCCGGAGGATGAGAATCAGTGGCTGGCTTTGGAAAGAGATTTGATGGATGCCTGGACTGTTCGGAGAAGGTTACGAGACAAGTCCACGGTCAAGAAGTTGGAAGGGTTTGAGGATCCAGAAGAAGATAGGAAAGATGAAGTTTTGAAGAGAAACAGTCGGATCGTCGAGCTCATCGAGGAAGAAATGAAGAAGATGGTCGACGATGACCCAGAAAGCGTCGTGGACGAGATGGTTTTGATTGGAGCATTGAGAAAGATGATTGAAGTGCCTGAAGACCATGAAGAGGTACTTCAGACAAGGATCATCTCTCCACGAGAAGTGTCGAGCCAATGGCACAACTGGCTACCAGCCATCAATGCAGAAGTGCATTCGCTGGTGGAAGAGAAAGGAGCACTGAAGATTTTGAGTCCAGAGGAGGTTGAGGAGTTGAAGAGGGAGGCAAAAGAGAAGGGGCAGAAGATCGAGTGTATCCCATCCAAAATGGTGTACACTTTGAAGCCAGGCATGGATGGTGGCCGAAAGAAAGCGCGGCTGGTTGCATGTGGAAATTTTGAAGAAAAGAAAAAGGATGAATCCACATACTCCAGCGGTGCAGATGCCGCAGCATTTCGCATCATGATATGGATCTCAGCTCGAGTCCTGGCAAGCCTGCACCCTTGATGTAAAGACGGCATTCTTGAATGCCGCCATGAGCGTTCAAGAAGATGATGGCCTCATTCTCATCAAACCTCCACCGATTTTTCAGGAGAAGAACTATGTCCCGAAGGGCGTGATGTATCAACCACTCAAGGCTGTCTATGGGTTCAGGCGAAGTCCAAGGCTGTGGGGTCTCCTGAGAGATCAAACCATGAGAGACTTCAGAATCCATGTTCTTGAGAATGGTCAAGAGAAAGTTTTGGTTCTGCTGCAGCTGAATTCAGAGCCAAACCTATGGAAGATAGCTGTCCAGGGGGAGGAAGAGGAGCCCACTATGACCAATGGCATGATGCGAGGACTAGTGATGTCCTATGTTGATGATCTGTTCGTCACTGGTCCGAGCTATGTGGTCGAAGCAGTCAAAGCCAAGTTTGAAGAAACCTGGGCTACTTCCAAGCCCGAATACGTGGGTGAACATCCAGTCCGGTTCTTGGGGATGGAAGTGAAGAAGGAAAGAAAGGCAGAGGACGAAAGGGAGGTGTGACATGTCACTCAGGAATCCTACATCTCTGACCTCCTCTCCAAAGAACATGGACTCAAAGAACGAAAAATCCCAATCTCCCGGGATCAATCCTTGATGGAAACCACTGCTGATCCGCCAACAGCAGAACAGATCAAGCAGTGTCAGAAAGAAGTTGGAGAAGCATTGTGGCTAGTCATGCGAACCAGGCCAGATCTAATGTTTGCAGTTAGCCGTATGGGCTCCAACATCACCAAATCAGCTGACGCAGTTTTGGAGGTGTCGAGACAGCTGAAAGGCTATCTGCTGAAAACAAAGGAAGAAGGGTTGAAGTATGATGAAAGCCCTGGAAAGCCCATTGCCGTCAATGCGTTTTCTGACGCATCCTTCGCCCCAGTTCGGGAAGAATCACATGGAGCGTTTGTCATCAAGTTCAATGACTCTCCGATTTTTTGGAGGTCAGGGCGACAGAGTGTGATCACCCTTTCAACTGCTGAATCGGAATTGGCCGAGATCGTGGAGGCCATGGGAGCTGCTGAGTCAATCTCAGTGATCATTGAAGAGATCTATGAAGAAGTTGAGAAGGTCGCTTGGAGCGACAGCCAAGCGGCGGTCGCTATCATGACGTCGGAGGGAGGCTCCTGGCGTACAAGGCACCTCAGAATGAAAGCAGCGTATGCACGTCAAGCCATCTCACAGGGCTTGTGGTGCTTGAATCACATGGCAGGTCTGACTTTGGTGGCGGATGTTGGGACGAAGGCAGTCAGTGCCAACCGACTTGAAGCTTTGAAAGAATTGATGGGGATGGGCAGAAGCTCAAAATCCTCGGACCGAGCTGGCGACGCAGAGTCGGGTGGAGGAGACCTGGTTCGGCGCCCAGCTAGGCGAGACGGCGATGCAGAGTCGGGTGGAGGAGACCTGGTTCGGCGCCCGTCTAACGCCCATGGTCCAGAGGAAGAAGAATCAGAAAAGAAAAGAGAAAAGGCGGTCAACGCCATCAGATTGGTCATCTTCATGGCCATGCTGACAGGAGCCAAAGGTCAGGAAGAAGATGAAGACGAAGAAGAGGGTCAACGAGAATTTCAAATCATGATGGCCGCTTTTACGATCATGGTCGTCGTGGTCACTCTTCTTTTTCAGAGAGCATGGAAGGTAGGAGTAGGAATGTGCTATCAGGAGCCCAAAGAAGTTTCTGAGAAGCCAGGACGAAGTCTCCCCATGCGCGAAGATCGAGAAGAGATTCAAGAAAATACACAACCAGAAGCTGGAGGCGCTGGCGGTGAGTTGGGGTCGGGGAGTTCAGCTGAACACCTGGTCCGCCTCCCGCCAGGGGGCCGGGAGGAGCACCAACAGCTCTCCCAACCTGAAGGCGAAACATCCAGTTCATCAGACTGGTCTTCAGGTGGTCCCAGCCCAGCTGAAGGAACTTTGGAGCGAAGAATCGAGGAGGAATTGCTGAAGATTGCAGAAGAAGAAGCTGAGCTTTGGCATCAGATACGCCAAGTTCCGCTACCACCAGTGTTGATAGAGAAAGTAGAAGAAAGAGAAGAAGAGGGACTGAGGTTTCCAATTTTCAGGACGAAGTTTGGAGTGGTCTATCATAGCACTCTGACCTGTAAACATCTTCAAGGAGTCCGAGTGTCATTGCCCCGAGAGTTCAAGTGGTGCCAAGATTGCCGACGCGTGGCGCTTCAAACTAGAGGGCGACCGCCTCCTGGAACTCCAGTCATCTTGTCAGTTGAAGGAAATGCAGCACATACTGATAAGAGATGCCCATGGGTCCGAGATCCCAAATCGACCCCCTTTTGCCTCACATGTCAAGAAAGAGAAAGGGTAGGTTGAGCTGCTGAAAGGTTGGACGACCTGACGAACGTCCAACGGGGGAGTGCAAATGCTCCATTGAATTTTCACTTGTTTGCATCACATTGCATCTTTTCACTTTGCTGCAACCGCAGCTACCCTTTTCGAGATCAAACCACCTGGCGCAGGAAAAATCCAGGTGCTGTCCGCTGCTGTTGAGGTAGCACAAATCGAGAAGTGTAACCGGAGGTAAGAGGTGAGAAGGTACCTGCACATCTGCAAGTACAAACCACAAGAAAATGAAAAACTGAAGTTGTTCAAACAATTATGCATCTATACCTTTAAAAGTGTTACTTGTGGTGTAATTGTTTCTCAGTTTCGCGAGCATTGTTTTTCTAGTGGTGTTTTGCTTGCAACATGGCTGTTGCATTTGTTGTACTACATGTGCCCCACTTGATAATTTCATGTTGATGTAGCCACTGTTGGATATAGATTAGCTGCCAAACAGATGAGGTTTTACCTCTGGCCTGTTCATTCTATCCATGGAAAAAATAAATTGATAGAAAAAATCGTTTCTCCGGTTTGGTTCTTACTCTACTTGTGATACTATCTTAACAATATCTTTGTGTGTTAGAGTTTTTTTAATGAGACTAAGGTTGCCTTATTTTTTTGAAGTGAACTCTCCAGAAAACACCTAAGACTGCCACTTGTTTTGCCGCCTCTCCAGGTTAGTGACAAGCCTGAGGATGACGATGGTGCTGGGTTTTTGGAGCTGGGAACATTTATATACAGCAAAACAACCCCCCAAAAAAATAGGAAGAAAACAATATCAGATCTATTTTGGGCCATGACCAACTGTAGCAAGTAAGGAATCATCCTTGAAAAAAAATTGCAGTTTCTTTTTCAATTATTGTTTTCTGATTGCCAAAGTCCATTTCATGTTGAGCACAAAATTCAATTATGTTTTAATTTGGTTTGGTTAGTTAAGATTATTTAGTTACTCATATAATTCCTATGTATTACTTGTGTCATTGGTTTTGTGTATTTGTGGATTTTTTGATATGTTTTCTAATGATTTTTTCTGCATTTCTTATGCATTTCTTTTGCATTTCTTATGCATTTCTTATGCACTTCTTATGCACTTCTTATGCACTTCTTATGCAATTTTTATGCACTTTTGAAAAGTGCATAAGAAATGCATTTCTTATGCACTTCTAAAAAGTGCATAAAAAGTGCATAAGAAGTGCATAAGAAATGCATAAGAAGTGCATAAGAAATGCATATAAAAAATCTGTAATTTTATGAACGGCTCATCAAATTTTATCAGAAAATTTTGAAAACCAGAAGGTTTTACTGAAAGGGAAATGCACAAGCAAATCATTACACATATGTGTAAGACTCAATTCTTCTCATGTATCATACTGTAGATATATCAAACAATTGCATAAAGATATAAACCTTGGCTCAGCTCAGGTATCCTAAGTATATAACATACTTGAATAATGTACATCAGGTTTGCTTAACCTCATGTACCACAGGTATTTGAAGGAGTCCAAAAGTAAGAATCAACCCGTTCACAAGTAAAGTGCAAAAACAGTGCAAAAAAATGCATAAGGAGTGCAAAAGAATTGCATTAAAAAAAATATCAAAAAAATTCTACAAAAACACAAAACCAAGGACACAAGTAATACATAGGAATTATATGAGTAACTAAATAATCTTAACTAACCAAACCAAATTAAAACATAATTGAATTTTGTGCTCAACATGAAATGGACTTTGGCAGTCAGAAAACAATAATTGAAAAAGAAACTGCATTTTTTTTCAAGGATGATTCCTTACTTGCTACAGTTGGTCATGGCCCAAAATAGATCTGATATTGTTTTCTTCCTATTTTTTTGGGGGGTTGTTTTGCTGTATATAAATGTTCCCAGCTCCAAAAACCCAGCACCATCGTCATCCTCAGGCTTGTCACTAACCTGGAGAGGCGGCAAAACAAGTGGCAGTCTTAGGTGGTTTCTGGAGAGTTCACTTCAAAAAAATAAGGCAACCTTAGTCTCATTAAAAAAACATTCTAACACACAAAGATATTGTTGAGATAATATCACAAGTAGTCACAAGTAAGAACCAAACCGGAGAAACGATTTTTTCTATCAGTTTATTTTTTTCCATGGGTAGATTGCAAGCAAAACACCACAGAAAAACAATGAACGTCAAACTGAGAAACAATTACACCACAAGTACTCCACAAGTAACACGTTCAAAGAATTTCAAAGATATAAATGGGAAAGTCTCAAAATAGGAGTGCCCCAAGCTCATTTTTTTTAGTTAAATAAGAAGGGTTTGGGGCACTTGGTTATGGCACCCCTTTTCTGAGACATTCCCTAATGCATAATTGTTTGAACAACGTAAGTTTTTCATTTTCTTGTGGTTTGTACTACATGATATTTTCACAATGGGAAGTTGTTGTTCAGCGCTGAGCTAAGCAGATATAAGTCAGCAACATGTGAATTTTCATCTAAATATAAACATTTGAAACATAGCTAATTAGGAACTTAGCCATATTCGACGATTTTCTTTCAAAATCGTTGTTGCTGTGTTGTGTTCCCCAAAAAACTTCTGACTGACTTGAAAAATATGGTTGTAAAAAATATATGTAGAAGTTACTGGTGAGGTCAAAACTAAACAGTTACATTCACATGTGGAAATTACTCGTGAAGTGAAAACTAAACCATAACACCTACGTGTGAAAAATACATAAAATTACTTGTGGTGTTAAAACCCAAGAAAAAACACCTACATGTGAAATTTACGAGTGATATTGAACCCCCACAATAACACTTACAGTTGAAAATTACTTGGGGGATTCAAACTAAACAATGACACTTACATGTGGAAATAGATTGTGAGGTTAAAAGCAAACAATGGCACTTACATGCGAAAGTTACTTGTGACGTGGAAACCAAACAATGACTAGAAGTTATCAAATGCATTGTACATGTGATGACTTGCCTTCATCTCTATCTTATCTTAGTAATCATCTCTGGCTGTGGAAACAAAAGTGACTATTGGGGACAGGGCAGAATTTGAGCTTGGAACAAAAAGAATGCTGCATTACTTGTGAAAACCATTTACTTGCGCAAGATAAAACACATTCAAAGCAAGCCAATTCTACTTGTGTCACATGAAAACAATACAAAAACAAATGAAAAAATATATTTCTTTCAAACATGGTCAACATGATCCGAAAAAAAGGTATGCACTTTATATGCGTTTCTATTTTTTTTTCAAACAAATACTTGGCTAGTAAATTGATTTACTTTACCAGGCAAAAGTAAATTTTACTAGTAAAAAATCCAAGTAAAGTAAAACATCAAAAAAACTAAAATCACTAGATTTCGAGACTCAGGGTAGCTTCAAAATCGATGTTTCCCTACGAGTTTTCTTATGAACCTCTAAATTGGCTACTTCAAAATCGATGTTTCGTGCGAGGCTTCCATCAGTTTTCATCACATCTCACAAAATGCCACGCCTACCACGGAATTTGCACCTTGTCGCCACTTGACGCAGCCCTGACAATGCGATTTGCCAAAAAACACGCAACACCACACGTCTAAAGTGCTGCGCCTGCCACGCAAAATTAAGATTGACGCGTCCAAAGTGTTGCGCCTGCCACGAAAACTGCAACGCATCTTCTGAAAACGTCGCAAAAGTATTGCGCTTGCCACACAAAATGATTCGACACGTTACAGCACGTCTGAATGTCACGAAGTGCCAGGCCTGCCACGCGAAACGAAGCAACGCCACATGTGAAACATCCAAAAGTGCCTCCTTTTGCAGAACTTACCATAGGCACGGGCATACGGGGCTCGTGCTGACGGTTGCGAACGGTTGCGTATGGTTGCGGACGGTTGCGAAGATAAACGCAACGTCGAGCGAACACACCCTCTTCCCCCAGACCCCCAGAGTGACACGGGAACCCTTGCTACGCATTCGGAAAAAAATTAAAGGACCGGATAGCCCCACAAGGCAACTTCTTCCAATAATGAGCACCAAATGTTGTTGTGGCAGGGACGGGGAAAGAAGGAAAGACAAAGGAGGTGGTGGAGGATCCAGAAGTAAAACAAAGTTGTGTGTGACAAAGTTGTATGTGAAAGATGGTGTGTGACAAAGAAAGGTGGTGTGTGTGCGTGTGTGACACATCTGAATAGATGTAAAACTTCTACTTTTCTGGGCTTCTACTGGTTCAACTCTCCTTTTGATTACTAATGCAGGGGGTGGATGCATGGTCTGGCAGTCATCCACCAACGACGACACTGCCTTTCCATGGTGATATGACAAAGGGACGCCTTTGTCACGTACTTGCTTTTTTCGGACATAGCAAGGGGCCAAGCTCAGAACCCCAAATACAATGGTTTTATTTCTTCAGGGTTGCCACAATCTGTATTTTCGCCGAAACCATGTCGCCGACGGTATTTTTGGTTATTTCGCCGAAACCATGTCGCCGATGTATTCTTTGATTATTCTGGAAAACCATCGCCGAAACCTACTTCATCATTGCCATTATAAAATGGGCTAGCGCCCGGGTGCCGCCGACTCCCTTTTTGTCCCTCTTCTGTGTGTATTCTAGTGGGTGATTAGGTCAATGGCATGATTTATTTAATGTTTTTTTCTCTTAGACTGCCATTGTACCTGCCCATTAACCATGGAATTTCACCACGTGCATGTGGGGGTGTTTGGATGTATTCGGGTCTTTGCGAGATGATTTTTTGCAACAGCGATTTTTTTTTGAAATCCATCTCTGCTTGGCTTTCATGCTCCATTTCAGCAAAGGATGCTTGCAAATGATGACCAGGCACCTGAGGCACCTGTGATCAGTGGGTCAAAGCCATCCGCTGATCAGCTGGAATGCGTCAAAGAGACTGGAATGCATCAGTTTGAAGGCTGGCAAACAGCAGCCTTGAACGCCCTAACAACAGAGGGCTATGTGCAGGTCCTAACAACAGAGGGCTATGTGCAGGCAAAGGGCAGGCTGCAACCCTGGAACAGCAAAGGCTGACGGCCAGAGGGCTTGGTGGAAGTGGCGCGAGGGATCTGGAGGGTTTTAAGAGTATAAGAGTTTTAAGTATTTGAAGCCTGGCAAACGAATGCCCCAACGGAGGGTTTTAAGGGTTTGAAGGCTGGCAAACGGCAAGCTTGACCGCCCTAACAACAGAGGGCTATGTGCAGGCAAAGGGCAGGCTGCAACCCTGGAACAGCAAAGGCTGACGGGCAGAGGAATTGGTGGAAGTGGCGCGAGGGATCTGGAGGGTTTTAAGAGTTTAAGACTTTTAAGTGTTTGAAGCCTGGCAAACGAATGCCCCAACGGATGGTTTTAAGGGTTTGAAGGCTGGCAAACGGCAGGCTTGAACGCCCTAACAACAGAGGGCTATGTGCAGGCAAAGGGCAGGCTGCAACCCTGGAACAGCAAAGGCTGACGGCCAGAGGGCTTGGTGGAAGCTGCCGCGAGGGATCTGGAAAGTTTGAAGAGTTTTAAGTGTTTGAAGCCTAGCAAACGAATGCCCCAACGGAGGGTTTTAAGGGTTTGAAGGCTGGCAAACGGCAAGCTTGAACGCCCAAACAACAGAGGGCTATGTGCAGGCAAAGGGCAGGCTGCAACCCTGGAACAGCAAAGGCTGACGGCCAGAGGGCTTGGTGGAAGTGGCGCGAGGGATCTGGAGGGTTTTAAGAGTACAGTGCATCACTTTTGCCTGCTTCCATTGGAAGTCTATTTACAAGAGTTTCTGCATGTGTTTCATGCACCGTTTCTTTGGCCACATACACGCCAGCTCAGCTGGCTTCGGCTTGCTATCATCGGGCAAGCTACTTGGGTTCCCCATGAGCTGCCGGATGCTTGCGTTTAAACTTGACATCTCTTGCTGTGGAGCTGATCCAACTCCAGCAAAAGCTGCTTTCCACGGCTTGGCTGCGAAGAAGCTACGAGGGGCTTGCATGACATGCCACACCCAAGCCAATGGATTAATTAAGCCATCAGGAGAAGTGCTGCGCAGAGAGCGATGCTCTTTTTGAAGCCATTTCTTGAAGCCACTGAATGCTGCCACGTCCAAGGGTTGAGCCACATGCGTGGCACTGGCTGGCACGAACGCGAGTTGCAGGCCAGACACTGCAGCTGCCTTCAGGACACTTGGCGTCAAATGACATGGCGCACAATCTAACAGCAAGACCCCTTGGGTCCCTGCGCTGCACACACTTTTGATGACAGCTGCAACTTCTTCCAGAATCTGCACCATGCAAGGAGAAGAGTTCCACGCCGATTGCTGTGCTAGCACTTTCAGGTTTGTCTGCGGCAATGCGGCTTGGCCGCGCATCACAGCCTTTGTCAACCGTGCACGGCTGCCAAGCAAGTAGTGCGGTAACTTTCCTTGTAGGCTTGTACATGTGCAAATAATAGCAACATAAGTGAAACATCCTCTGTGATTCTCCTTCTTCACCTTCGCAGTAAAAGGCACTTGGCGCCCATGCTCCGCAGTGACACAGCCCGCTTGCGGCATCAAGCTGTAGCCAATGGATGTCTCGTCTAAGTTGAGAAACACCAGCTTTTTAGTGGCAAACTTCCGCCTGATGTAGCAGACTTGCCGCCAAAAGGCTTCCACCTACCAGGTGGAACAGCACGCTATGGAACGGCCCAGCTTAGACTCGTTTCGCGTCCCAAAAATGGTCCCAACAAGTGGCCTCGGAAATAGACAACCTTAGCTTCGGGGCCTCTGGGCGGACCCTTTTTTGGGACCAAATCCCGTTCCCAAAACGGGACCGAAACTGCTACCCACAATGGCCCCTAAACGGAAAGAAAATGGACACCCTGGAAGCAACTATCCCTAGAGCCTTTGCTTGTAGCAAGGGCGTTTCAATGTGCAACTTTGGTCGGATGGCGCCGCGGCGAACGCCCCAGCGGCCACGCCAGCAACAAACCCACTTGCGCACCATTCGTGCGGCAGGCAGGCGTGCTTCAGGGTCAGTGCCTTTCAGAACCGATTCATACTGCCAGTATACTTCAGTAGCCGAAGGTGCCACGCCATGACCAACATTCAGTTGCGCTACCCAGTCACGAGCGGTAGCTTCAGCTAGAAACTTCTTAGCCCGGGCCACTGCCAGTCGCCACTCTTGCGTCTCAGGTGCAAAGGTTTGCCTCAATGTTTCCATTGGTGTTTGCAAGACCAAGTCCTCCACGATGCGACCAGGGTCCATGGAGCTTGGCGACGCAGCTGCAGCCCAGTGCTGCAACATACGCACGCTGAGTTCCAGATTCTGGTCGCTCAGCAGGTATACAGCTATGGTTGCTTTCTGTCCAGCAGGGCCCAAGCCACCAGAAGCTTCGCGCTTCTTACTGTGCCGCCTTCTTTGCAAGGCATTCTTGATCTGCAGCTGGTTCGTCCGTAAGGCTTCCTGCAATTGGAACACCTCCTCGGACATCTGGGAAATGACAGCACATGGGGATGAAGGCAGCACGTTCTTGTCCCTAAATAGCTTGAACCAAAGGAATGCACAAAATGCGCTGGTCCCCGTGTCTGCCGTAACCCATGCACAGAAATTGAAAACCAACAGAAATCCACAAGAACATCGCCAGAACTTGGATGAGTGCAACCACAGAATCAGTGACAGAAACCGTCTCTAAACGCTTGGAATCGACAATGCTTGATGCTACTTGGCCTCTTGCTGTTTGGCGCATGCATGCATGCAACTTTGTTACACATGTATGATGAAGGAAGGCAATGAATATGAACAATAGATACCCTGGATGGTCAAGTCAGAAAATGCCACTAGTTCACGTCCCGTTTCTGGGACCAGTTCAACCCCCCAAATAGACAGCTCATAGACAGCTCTTATTTTCAACTTTCGAAGCACGGCTCGTACAAATCAATGAGCTCCATGTTCTCTGCCAGCCACGGCTCTGAGCTGTCCCACTCAGCAGAATGGTCCACAGTCATGATAATTGGCACAGCAAAGATATATACAGAATACCGGTATATGCCAGTTTTGGATTGTCCCAGGCTGTGAACATCGGAATTGCATGCCATCAGAATACTATTAGCGGGCGGGAGGACCACCAAGGTCGAACACAGTGGCATCAGAATACTATTGGCGGGCGCGCAATGCCGACACCAATCATCAGAATACTATTAGCGGGCGGGAGGACCACCAAGGTCGAACACAGTGGCATCAGAATACTATTGGCGGGCGCGCAATGCCAACACCAGTCCTCAGAATACTATTAGCGGGCGGGAGGACCGCGAAAGCCGAACACAGTGCCATCAGAATACTATTAGCGGGCGGAAGGACCACCCAAGTGGAACACAATGCCATCAGAATACTATTAGCGGGCGGGAGGACCACAACAGTCGAACGCAATGTCATCAGAATACTATTAGCGGGCGGGAGGACAACCAACATGGAACACAGTGCTATCAGAATACTATTAGCGGGCGGGAGAGCCATGGGCCACCCCGTTTGGGACTTACAAAGTTATTAACTAGCGGGAGAAGGGGGGAGAAGGAGGAAGGGGAAGGGGGTCTATCTATTGCCCGATAGCGTTGTACACCCGTACCTTCCCAAACGGGGTGCCCCCGTACACTCCCAATAGTTCCAAAAGTAGCTTATTATGAAAAGCTTTCTTGTTTAATGTTACCTCTCTCAAAAACATCGCTTCAGGAAGACCTCGTTCATTAATTCCGCTGGGCTCAACAATCTGGTACCCCTAGCTGCGCCACAAGCGCCCAAGAGCATACCGGCTTCTGGCACCTCTAGCTGCGCAATAAGCGCCCAAGAGCGTACCGGCTACATTGTTGTTATACTTCTGGTACCCTAGCTGCGAGACCAGCGCCCAAGAACGTACCGGCTACATTGTTGTTATACACTTATGACTTATTATTGAATACTCAGACATTATCCCTGCGATCCATACATGACACATGTTAGACAATGTGGTACCCCTAGCTGCGCGACAAGCGCCCAAGAGCGTACCGGCTACATTGTTGTTATGCACTTCTCATTGAATATACTCGGACATCATCCCTGCGATCAATACATGACACATAATGGAAAATTTGTGGTACCCCTAGCTGCGCGACCAGCCCCCAAGAGCGTACCGGCTACATTGTTCTTCATCCTTGCGATCCATACATGACACTTGTGAGACAATGTGGTACCCCTAGCTGCGCGACAAGCGCCCAAGAGCGTACCGGATACATGGTTGTTATGCACTTATCCTGGAATACTGACAAACCTATATCTCCCCTGGATTCAAAGATGACACATGTGAGACAATGTGGTACCCCCAGCTGCGCGACAAACGCCCAAGAGCGTACCGGCTACAGCTGCCCTCAGCTGCGCACTCCCGCGCCCAGAAGCACAGCCATGTCATGGAGCATACCGGCTACATTGCGCTGCCCTCAGCTGCGCACAGCGGCGCCCAGAAGCGCAGCCATGTCATGGTACCCCTAGCTGCGCGACAAGCGCCCAAGAGCATACCGGCTACATTGTGCTGCCCTCAGCTGCGCACAGCGGCGCCCAGAAGCACAGCCATGTCATGGTACCCCTAGCTGCGCGACAAGCGCCCAAGAGCGTACCGGTCACATCATGAACCCCAACATTCACGCAGTGGTACCCCTAGCTGCGCGACAAGCGCCCAAGAGCGTACCGGCATTCTGTCAGCTGCCCTCAGCTGCGCACTCCCTCGCCCAGAAGCACAGCCATGTCATGGTACCCCTTGCTGCGAGACCAGCGCCCAAGAGCATACCGGCTACATTGCAAACATCTCATGTCTTTTTTTGAAGTAGATATACATATACAACAATTCCAATCTATCCAGGACAGTGCTGCATCCGGGCCACTGGCCACAAACAATGGATCATCCGACAGAGATGATGTGACATATCCTATATAGCTAGTGGAGACATACATATACGCACATATTATCATGACGGATACACACACATATATATATATGTTTAAGTCTCGGTCATCTATCTGGATATCTGTATCTAACTCTCCAAGTAATCAAGAGGTACGTCGGCATCGCATTGAATCACCAGATGCACATGCACAGTAATAGCTCAAAAAACAGATACACAAATATATTTGTACATATCATATATATATTGTATGTTGATGTATCTATGTATATATATATATTGTATGTTGATGTATCTATGTATATGGCAATGTCTATCTATATCATATCTCTCCAGGTGTTCAGCAAGGTGGCAGACAGGTACAGACAGGTGCAGACTACAGCCCTTTGGGATGCAGCATGCCATTGGGAGCATAGTAGCAGTCTCACTCGCGCAGCTTTCGAGCCAGCAAGTATTGCAAATCAGCCACTGTCAGTGCGCCAGCCTTGGCACGGAGAGCTCGCAGCCGCCGTTCCTGTCAGGGATATGCGGACAGGGATGATGCCGGTGCTGGGATTAGACTATTGCCCTGGCCTGCTGTTTGATTGAAGCCGTGGCCCTTTTCAGCTGTAGCTTCAGCACCTTCCGTTCTTCTTTCAAAGCTTGCACGGCTTCAGTGCTGCCATCTGCCCGCGCTGCAACACCAGCAGGAGGTGCACCAGCAGCAGCAGCCCCACCAGCGCCATTGTCAGCCATGCACTGTTACACACACACAGGAGTGGTTCCGAGTGTCAAACTGAGGTCCCTCAAAAGCTGCAGGCGTCACAGTCCGCCGATGACCCCATGTCCTTCACTCAATTCCGCACATGTCTTCAAACCCGGCTTGAACGCCCTAACAACAGAGGGCTATGTGCAGGCCCTAACAACAGAGGGCTATGTGCAGGCAAAGGGCACGCTGCAACCCTGGAACAGCAAAGGCTGACGGCCAGAGGGCTTGGTGGAAGCTGCCGCGAGGGATCTGGAGGGTTTTAAGAGTTTAAGAGTTTTAAGTGTTTGAAGCCTGGCAAACGAATGCCCCAACGGAGGGTTTTAAGGGTTTGAAGGCTGGCAAACGGCAGGCTTGAACGCCCCCACAACAGAGGACTATGTGCAGGCAAAGGGCAGGCTGCAACCCTGGAACAGCAAAGGCTGACGGCCAGAGGGCTTGGTGGAAGCTGCCGCGAGGGATCTGGAGGTTTTAAGAGTTTTAAGTGTTTGAAGCCTGGCAAACGAATGCCCCAACGGAGGGTTTTAAGGGTGGCAAACGGCAGGCTTGAACGCCCTAACAACAGAGGGCTATGTGCAGGCAAAGGGCAGGCTGCAACCCTGGAACAGCAAAGGCTGACGGCCAGAGGGCTTGGTGGAAGTGGCGCGAGGGATCTGGAGGTTTTAAGAGTTTCAAGTGTTTGAAGCCTGGCAAACGAATGCCCCAACCGAGGGTTTTAAGGGTTTGAAGGCTGGCAAACGGCAGGCTTGAACGCCCTAACAACAGAGGGCTATGTGCAGGCAAAGGGCAGGCTGCAACCCTGGAACAGCAAAGGCTGACGGCCAGAGGGCTTGGTGGAAGCTGCCGCGGGGGATCTGGAAAGTTTGAAGAGTTTTAAGTGTTTGAAGCCTGGCAAACGAATGCCCCAACGGAGGGTTTTAAGGGTTTGAAGGCTGGCAAACGGCAGGCTTGAACGCCCTAACAACAGAGGGCTATGTGCAGGCATGGGCAGGCTGCAACCCTGGAACAGCAAAGGCTGACGGCCAGAGGGCTTGGTGGAAGTGGCGCGAGGGATCTGGAAGGTTTCAAGAGTTTTAAGTGTTTGAAGCCTGGCAAACGAATGCCCCAACGGAGGTTTTAAGGGTTTGAAGGCTGGCAAACGGCAGGCTTGAACGCCCTAACAACAGAGGGCTATGTGCAGGCAAAGGGCAGGCTGCAACCCTGGAACAGCAAAGGCTGACGGCCAGAGGGCTTGGTGGAAGCTGCCGCGAGGGATCTGGAGGGTTTGGTTTTTTTTGAGTGTTTGAAGCCTGGCAAACGAATGCCCCAACGGAGGGTTTTAAGGGTTTGAAGGCTGGCAAACGGCAGGCTTGAACGCCCTAACAACAGAGGATTATTGAAGCTGCCGCGAGGGATCTGGAAAGTTTTAAGAGTTTAAGAGTTTTAGGTGTTTGAAGCCTGGCAAACGAATGCCCCAACGGAGGGTTTTAAGGGTGGCAAACGGCAGGCTTGAACGCCCTAACAACAGAGGGCTATGTGCAGGCAAAGGGCAGGCTGCAACCCTGGAACAGCAAAGGCTGACGGCCAGAGGGCTTGGTGGAAGCTGCCGCGAGGGATCTGGAGGGTTTTAAGACTTTTAAGTGTTTGAAGCCTGGCAAACGAGTGCCCCAACGGAGGGTTTTAAGGGTTTGAAGGCTGGCAAACGGCAGGCTTGAACGCCCTAACAACAGAGGACTATGTGCAGGCAAAGGGCAGGCTGCAACCCTGGAACAGCAAAGGCTGACGGCCAGAGGGCTTGGTGGAAGCTGCCGCGAGGGATCTGGAGGGTTTTAAGACTT